TTCTAGAACTATGAGCCAAAATAAACCTTTCTTCCCTTTAAGTCTATTATCTCAGGTATTTGTTACAAAGATGGAAGATGACTCACATACCCCTAAATATTAAAAGGAACAGTGAAAAGTCTCTGCTGCCCTCTATAACACATACATACATGCGCGCGTGCACAAGTACAAATGCCACACACACACAGTGCACAAAATCACTTGTACTAGTTTCCATATCTTTCCAGAGTTACATTAATCAAATATAAGCACCTAGAAATATGCCTTTTTTTAATAAATAGTAACACACTGAACCTACTGTTTTATACCTTGTTTTTTTCCATAAGTAATGCTCTCAAGAACTTCTACTTCACTTCAGCGTCCTCGTTCTTTCATTGGGCTGTATGGTGTACTACTTGATAGACGCACATATTTTATTTAACTAGATCCATATTGTTGGCCATTTGAGTTGTTTCCAATCTTGTATCAAAATAACAAAATGAATGATCTTGAATATGTCATTTTTTTTTTTATGGACGCACTTATATTAGTGGGACATGTTTCTCAAAAGAGAATTGCTGGGCTAAAGGTCAGTGCATTTGTAACTTTGATAGACGTTGCCAATTTGCCCTCCTTAGGTGTTACGTTAGTTCATTCTCCATATAGCAGTGTGGAGAATCAGTTTTCCCACAAGAACTCTGACAGAGTGTGTTAACAAACCTTTCGCTTTTTATAGGTGAAAAATGGCCATTTTAATTTGTTTCTCTTATGCACTATTCTTCATACCTATTCATGTATGTAAGTTCCATCAACATCACCTTCACTGTAAACTAGTGAATGTCTTCTTCCCATTTTTCTACCAGGGTCTTGTATTGATTTCTAGTAGCTCTTTATATGTTAAGGAAGTTAGTCCTCCAACTATGTTGTGAGTTGAAAATATTCTTGTCCAATTTTCCATTTTTATTTTACTCATGCTGCTTGGGCCATACAAAAGCTATTTTATATTAGTTTATGGTCCAATTTTTAAGCTTTTTCTTCTAAGGTTTATAGTCATAGAAACGTCTTCCCTGCTCAAAAGCTGTAAAGTATATTAAAGGTTGTTTTGCTGGTGCCTTTACGTTTTCTTTGAATACATTTGAATCTTTGATCTACTTAAAATTTATCTTTTGATAAGAATTGGATCCCCTGTCATTTTTTACTCAGTTTCATCTTTCTTGAATTACTCTGCCCTTGGCTTTGAAACTTCGTGTTCTACCACTTTCCAAACCTCTCCTTCTCAAGCTATGTCAGACTCCCCTTCTTCTGTTTGCCTTCAGATATTGGAGATCAGCTTTTAATGGTCACTGATCCTCTGCTCTTCTCACTTTGATGCCTGGTCGGAGGGCTTCCAATTTACATCTCCCCTGAGCTCCAGACTTGGACCACCATCCACCCATTTGGATTTTTCCACTTAAATGAGAATCTCAAAGGCCACTTGTCCAAATCTGACCTCATACACCTCTCCAGCTCTTCCCCAGCTCAGAAAATGCTGGAAAATGGGCTCATGCGAGAAGCCTGGGGGGGCAGCACCACTCCCCCATTTCTCTTTTCCTCCACGTCCATCATCATCAAGACCTGCTGACTTTGTTTCCAAAACACACCTCAGATCATGCACTTCTCTCCATCTCCTCTGGCTCTGCCACAATCTAGGACAACACAGTCTTCCAGTGGGCCAACGAGCACACCCTCCCAGCTGTCTCTCGTGTCCACTCCTGCCATGGGGAACTTCTAAAACTGTAAATCTGATCACGTCATTCAATCCCAATCTCCCCAACTCTGTCACACACACACAGACAGACACACACACACACACACACACGTTCTTTCAATAATCCTTAGGAAAAGTCATGAGATCTTTAGCAGAAACGGTTTTTAGAGCCATGAGTGGAAAATTACCCGTGGCAGGAAGATACATGAGGAGCTGACATTTGCAGTGCCCCCGAAAGGAACAAATAGGCATTTACTGGGTGAAAAGGGCTCGGGGGTTCCCACCGGAGGAAACAAGTGTCTGCAGACACACAGAGGTGAGCAGAAACTCATCTGGTGTGACCAAAGAATTATTTATGGTAATAAAAACAATAAGAATGAGTCACAACTAGGTTTTCTGAACAGTGGTGCCTTGCACACTCGGAGGCCCTAGAACTTGAGTCTGGGGTGGGGATTCCTGCAAAGGTGACAGGGCAGAAGGGCTCTCAGGCGAGGGGAGAGAAGGGAGCAGGACAGGCCAGGACGGGGCCGAGCACGGACACTGTCTCAGCTGGGCTCCATGGGGAGCTGCAAAGTTGGTCCCCCTCTGAGGAAATGGGGTGGGCTTCCAGGCCACTAGCTGTGCCTCCTCTGGTTCATGGATCCCATGGGCAGAGGCCTCTATTCCAGAAAAGAGGCAGCTACAAGTAGTTGGCAGTCAGCCCTCACAGTAGCTGGACATGGGTGCCCTGGCCTGCTAAAGAATCTACTGAGTCACCCACAGAACCCCTGCCTGCACCTCGTTTCCTTCTCCTAGCACCCCAAGAGGCAGGCTGACTCTCTTCTTAACAGGAAGGTGAAAGCATTTGCATGCAATATCTACTCCATGCTGGGGCATGACAGAGCTAGAATCTGAATCCAGGTCTGCAGAGGCCCAAGCCTCCTTCCTCTCCTCTTCATCTCTTCCCAGGAAATCTCCTTCTTCCTGAGCCAAAGGAACAGGAAATAACAATTCCTGCAACTCCCGGATATGGCTGCTCTCAGCAGGAGGAGAGCTGGTCTCTAACAAGCCCTCCAGCCCTGAAGGCTGTTGGTGGGGCTGCGGCCTTAGTGAAGGACCAACCCTCTCGTTCTCAGGTCACCTGGGAAAGATGGCACAAAAGAAATGCAAGGTCCAGGGGTGGGGGAAGTGATGATTTATGAAAGTGAAGGCAGCTATGCAGGAATTCTGTGGAGACTTGCAGAAACCAAACAATGGAGTGTGCGTTTGCAAAAGCAAGTTCAAGCCCACAAGGGCTGGCTTGAAAATTTTTTAAAAGGGGGACTGTTGGCTAATACACACCCAGGGGAGCCTCAGTCCAGGCTGAATTTTCCAAGTAAAGAAGATGTTATTTCAGGAAAAGTTTTACATTAAAAAGCAAGTCTTTAATGTAAAATGATCAAATAGGACTTTCTAGAAGGAAATGTTTTCCAGAAAAGGCTTCCTACTCACATCCAGAGCCTCGTCCATCACAGATGCCTGACATACATTTGCTGGATGGGTGGATCTACTAATTAACAATATCTATAAAACAATATCTATAAAATAAAATACATTTTATGACATTTAGCGGGTTCAGTCTCTGGACCTGCTATTGGCTACGAGAGCTGTATTTTGCCCACACGTTTGTCACCTTCAGTAACTGGGACAGTATAATTCCTGCAGTCAGTGAGACGGCGCACAGGGAAAGGGTGTCTGTGTTTGTGTGAGTTCAAGTAGACGCTTCAGAGAAAATACTGGAAGGAAATATACAGAACTCCTGCCATTATAGAGTAGAGGCTGGTAGAGTACCCCTGAGCCACAGGGCACTGTAGGTCTGGGAAGAGTCGGAGATATTCTTTAGCAAAATCAGCATGAACCAATCCCCTATGTTTCCTAGATGAGCAATTTTATATAAAGACCACAATGCTTTGCACCCCTCCCATCAACAGGTGGAGTCTACTTCACCATTCCTTGAATCCAGATAAGACTGTGTCTGGCTCTGGTCAATAGAAAGAGCTGGTGGTACAGAGGCGCCACTTCAAGTCTAGGCCTCAAGAGGTCTTACAACTCTGCCCTGGTTGCTCTGGGAACCCTTCCCTTGTTTTGTGAGTGCCTCAGGCTAGCCTGCTGGAGGATGAGAGGCCCCATGGAGCAGAAGCAGACCCCAGACCAACCAGTCCTTGGGGCTTAAAAGATTCTAGGCAAAACAGAACAGCCACCCAGCTGAACCCAGCCAAACTGCCAACCCACGGAACCAGAAGCTACATAAATATTTGTGGTTTTAAGTCACTACATTTCAAGGAGTGTGTACAGCAAAACTGATTCAGTGTAAGATATCGAGAATGCATTTGCCAAAGTTGCTCACAAAAGGTTGCCTCGTGCCACTGGATGGATTTAGTTAATCTCAGAGGATCTTGATGTCTTCATCATAAAGTCTCAAGTTAGGGAGACTCTCTGGATCCAGGCTGTCCTCCAGCTCCCCAAGTCTGTCAGCAGCCAGGAAACTCCAGCACCCTGAGCGAGTGCCACCCTGAAGCCACCACTGCCTTAGGGGACATCCTCTGTGATACCACAGCCTGTGGTGAGGACTCTCCCTGGAGTCACAGTCCCCAGCATCCTGGCCTTTAGTGAGGACAGTCCCCAGAGTCCCACTTGGCAGTGAGGATGCTCCCAGGGAGGAGAAATGTTAGTTTTCAGCTCTCAGTGGAAACTCTGACTCCAGCAGGCATGTGAGACCCCTGGAGGACTGGGCATGGGTTGGGACAGCCGTGCTCAGCCCCGTTCACCATCAGGGAGGGCCCCACAGGAAGCCTCTGCTCTCCTCCCTTTGGGCCACGTCACAAGCCTCTCCAGTGGCCTTAGACAACTCACAGGGGGTGAGTCAGCCTTGCCACCCTGTGCCTGGGCTCGGGCACGTCCATACACAGCAAGGCCCCCGGGAGCCGAGCCCCAGGCAGGCAGCACCAGAAACGCCACTCACTGAGGGGACATTTGCCACGCGCATGCAGAATGTGGGAAGTGCACTTGATTTCTAGCAAGTTCTTGATGATGTCCATTTCAAGTCAACGGTCACCAGGAAGTTGATTTACAGCAAACACTACAGTCCCAGTTTGTCCCTTGTAAGGACTCAACTGGTATCTGTAAAGATTCCGAGAGGGGACGGTAGAGAGCCAGGCCCCCCAGCTCTGTACCCTCCAGCCTCTGTACCCCAGGAGCAGCTGGGCTCCAGCCAGCCCAAGGTTGAGACCCCCACTCAAGGGGGACGCGCACCCACCTGGCTGGTTGACAGGAGCTCTGGGTTTCCGTCACTCATCCCCACGTAGGCACTGTCACCATCAAACTAGAACAGAGAGAGAGAAGCAGCTCTGATTAAAATGTTCTCAGGTGGCACCAGGAGAAGCAGCCAGAGGAGGTCGGGGGACTGTGACCAGTGGAGGGGCTGTGGAGCCTGCAGCTGCAAACCCTGGGGCCCAGGACGCCCGAGGCCTCGATTCAGCAGGGCTCTCTGGGGCGGAAGGAGCATCCCCTGTTCTGCGGCCCCTGAAGGCCAGTTAGCCAGTAATCACCAGGAGAATCAAGGCAGGAAAAGCTCTCCGCCCTCCAGACCTTGTCCACAGGCACAGGGCCTGCCTGCCAGGCTCCAGCCTCCCAGCCCTAGAAATCCACAGGAGTCTCTCTCTGGGCAGGCTAGATCTGGAATCCTGGGTCCCAGGTCGAGGCCAAGATCTCCAGAGCTTTTGGGTCATGACAGCCTGCTCCAGACAGGCCCCCAAGTCATCCCATCCAAAGTGACTCAGCCCCCTCCCGCTAAGGCCACTAGAGGCTGCAGGCAGCGAGGGCTGAAACCATGCAGAGGAACAACAATCCCAAGTCAAGGAAGCTGCAATAGAGAGCAGGTGCCGGGGGAGAACCCGCTCTCTTCACCCTGACCTTGAGCTGGCTTCTGAACCTCTAAGGTCCTATGCACACAGGGTGGCAGTCCCCTCCTCACAGGGTGTGGCGATTCAGAGCACCAGACACATATTGCCCTTTACTGAATTCCAAGTGCTTCCCCACCTCCAGGGGGTGTCTTCCCCAGAAGCAGAGCCTGAGGCAAGGGTTCAAAGACCTCACCTGTGAGGCAGGGAGGGAAGGGGACAGGGCATGGTGGAGCTAAGTGAGGTCAGAAGGGGCTGGAGACTCACTTCAGCCTGACCCCTGGGCAGCTCCGGGCTGTGGACTGCACTGCAGAGTTAGGGGTGGCCTTTTGTGGTCTCTGCAAATTGGTCACTGGCTGTGGGCTGCCCTTGGGGAACATGGGGAAGTATAACCTTCTGAGCAAGGTGGCCCCCACTGGGCCAGGGACAATATCCAGAGGACCCACTGTGAGCCATTTGCAGTCAGCAATCATAGCACTGGGGACAGCTGGCCATTTTTTAAAAATTGAACAATTTATTAGGATATATTCACACGGTCAGAAATTCCAAAAGTACAAACGGCAACACAGTGAAACGCCTCCTTCTTCCTCCACCCCATCACCTGCTGCCCTCCCCAGAGGGTCCCCTCGGAGACCCTCTGCAGTCTGCAGGCATACTGCTCCGTCCCTGACTTTGTGTGTAGCAGTGCATCCCGGAAAGTGCTTTATGTCGGGACAGAATCCTTCCCGCCGGGACCTGGAGTGCCGTAGTTGGGAGGCAGCGCACCCCTGGCGGGCAGAGCACAGGGCAGCCGCATGTCCTAGCCTTTGCTAGTCCGGCGCGGTGGCCGTGAGTATTCCTGTGCCCTGGTCAGTGTGCGGGAGTGTGAGTTTATCTGCAGGATCCGCTTGTGCAATCTCTGAGTCCAACAGCATGAGCAACGGTGCCTGTGACAGACACCACCAAGTGGCCCTCGTGGAGGCCGTGAAAGGAGCTGTCCGTGGCCGCCTTCCCTCAGAGGCCTCGATGCCAGCTCGGCCTCCGCTGCCACCAGGCTCTGAGCACCCACCTGCTGCCCCCACTCCCCATGCTTGGCCTTGCCCTGCCTGACCTTGCTCCTTCTTCCACAGCCCCTGGCCTTCTAGCATTCTCTGTGACTATTTACCAGGTGATGGGGCTTGGTTATGGGGTGTCCCCCCAAAGCTCATGGATGAGGCAAAGCCAGAGAGCTCGGGGGCGGTGCAATGATTGGGTTGTGACATGTGTGGCCCCAACCAAGGGCTTTATCCATGATATGGACTAAGTGGGTGGTAACTGCAGCAGGTGGGGGGTGGCTGGAGGAGATGGGTCACTGGGGACATGCCTTTGGGGGTTGTATTTTGTCCCTGGTGAGCAGAGCTCTGCTTCCTGATTACCCTGTCCTGAGCGGCTTTCCTTCTCCACGTCCTTCCTCCATGATGTTCTGCCTCACATCTTTCGCCCAGAGCAAAGACAGCCGACTATCCACAGACTGAAACCTCTGAGCCCCAAATAAACTTTTCCTCCTCTAAAATTGTTCTTGTCAGTTCTTTTAGTCACAGAGGCAAAAAAAAAAAAAAAGACTAACTACCATGTTCATTACTTAAAGTTGGATCCCCCTTTTAAATTAGAGACTCCCGAGAGTCAGGAATCTTAGTCTATCTGCACACTGATGCCTCCCAAGCTCTGAGAAGAGTGCCTGGCCTGCAGTAGATGCTCAATGAATGAGTAAAGGAGTCAATTCGGACGTTCAGATGGTTTCTGACAGGCCAGGCTTCCAACTAGGCAGTGGGACTGGCTGTCTCTCAGCAGCACAGATGGGCAATGTTCCTTGGTGACTGCTGGATTATCCAAAGGAAAGACTGGGTCATTCCCAGAGTCTGGGCACTGACCCCAGGTGCAGGGCTCCGCCCACCACCTTGCTCTCAGAGCTCAGACTTCAAGGCACTGCTCTCAGGCTGCCTCCTCTAGGAGTCACCACCTCCACTGTCCCTCTCACAGCCCAGTCTGTCCCACATCTGTCACATGCCCCAGAGTAGAAGCAACATGGGGGTTGGAGCTGAGTCCTGGTCATCTCTGAACATCAATGACGGATAGAGGCTGGCATCAGGAAAGGCACTAGGAATTTGGCAGGGTAGAAAAACTTTCAACAAAAACTACTGGGTAACACTTGATTCATCACCATGGCCACTGAGCACTTTGATAAAAGCAAAATCTTTTCAAAAAAGATACTTAATGTATGGGCTGGGGATGTGGCTCAAGCGGTATCGCGCTCGCCTGGCATGTGTGGGGCGTTGGGTTCGATCCTCAACATCCCATAAAAATAAAATGAAGATGTTGTGTCCACCTAAAACTAAAATATATATATATATTTTTTTTAAAAAAAGATAGATAATGTATAACTCTATCCTAACAGAATAACTGGAAATGGAGGAGGACGAAGTTTAACTCAGCACTGGAAACATTTCATATAGCAGCAGCAACCAAATGGTAAGGTCTAGCTAGAAGCATAACATGAAGTGACACAGGAACAGAGGAGAAAGGTGTCCTCCAAACCTGTGACAGTCACCACTTGTAAATACTCCCGACATGCACAGAGGGCCGAGGACACGTAGCCGGCGAGTGCGTGAACACACCTGGCGATGAGAGTCGGGCTTCACATGGAAGAGCTCATCTAACCTGTGCGACAGCCCAGGGGAGAAAGTTCTTTTCCCTGGAGGAGGGTCGCCTTGCCAAAAGTCACACAGTTGCGGGGAGACTCAAGCAACATTTCATGTTTTGCTTTGTCCTTACTCTACCTCCCCAGGAGGCTGTGAGCCCCTTCACAGCAGAGACAGAGGCCTTTCTAGATCCTTCCATGTAGTCAACCATTAGCTCAGGGCCTGGCACACAGCAGGTGCTTGACAATGCAGGAAGCTCAGGAGAGGGAGGAACTGCCCACAGTGAGCCGTCTGGGCTGTGGTCTCTCAAGAAGACCCTGATGGGGGGTTGCAGGAACCAGCAGGTGGAACAGGCAAGGGACGAGGCCAGTGGATTCCCAGAGGTCTCCAGGGCATGACCCAAGGGCTAATCCACTCACTTGTTTATCCAGCTGTCATCTAAGAAGGAGTTGCCACGGGCCAGAGCCAAGCTCGCTTCTGGCTTTCTGTAAGGACTTGGTTGGTGGAGGTCCCAGGCCAGGCCCACGGGATCCTTGCCCAGTGCCCTGGAGCACGCTGTGAACAGAGGCCCTGAGGTAAGAGGTGGCCTGTTGTCTGTCCTCTGCTGTCTGTGCTCCACTGTGGCAGAGCCCCTGGAGTGGGGAAGGGAGGAAGGAGGGGACCCCACTCACAGGGTCCGTGCTCCCTCTGGCTTGGCCTCCAGGGCACCGTGGCCTGAGGATTATGCCCTTAGCCCTCCCCGCAAGGGACTCTTTCTGGGAAAGATCTTGTAACCAAGCAGGAGGTCACAGAGTGGCCTCTTCCTGCAGACACAACAGGGCGGCCCCCCTACACACAGGCACAGATGGAAAGCAGGTCTACACCCACCACCCAGTGGATGCTGAGGTGAACACTGCGACCTCCGCAGTGTGCACAAGCGTGGGCACACGCACCACAAACCTGTGTTCTTGTGGACCCATGTCAAGCACAGTCCTGTGTTCCAGAGAGCACTCAGGCACACATGTCCCTCGTCCACAGGCGGCACCAACCAGCACAAACCAATGCCAGAGCAGAACAGGTTGTGCACCAGAGACGCTGTGCACACGCAGGAAGGGTGGGTTGGCAGGCACCCGGAGGTGCACCAGGCATCCAAACTGCACGAGGTAACTCACACCGGCATGGACACAAACGCACACCTCACGTGCACACAAGAGATGGGCAAAGCAAGGGCACAAGGGACTGAAACCCTGCGCCTATTCACAGTTTATCAATCCCTCAGCCAAAAGTCTTCCACACCACACGTATTTTAAAACGTGAAGAAAAAACTGTAGGAAGAAACAACAGCATAAGAATTGCCACAAAACGTCAGGAGAACATCCTCTTACCACTGACTGGAATAGATTAATTTTCCCCATTTCATATTCTAATTATAATTCCCTTTCCCATTGCCATCTTCAGTCCTCATTACAGCTGGAAGATTGTTCTGCAAAAGCCAGGCCTTCATCTTCTCTTCCCAAGAGTTTTGTCATGGAAATGAGTTTTGGAATCTGAAAGAACCCACATTTTTGCAAATATCGAATGTGTGGGGATAACCCTTTCATGACGGCCACCAAGGACACGGCTCACAGAGACTTCTAAAACATCTGTCTCCGCCACATTGTGTGGCTCCCCTCAGCAAGAGGGGCTCCGGGCCCCTATTCCAACAGTCACCCTCCAACTTAAGCACCATGTTCTCCCTGCCCCCAAGAATTTGTTGTTGTTGTTTTGTTTTGTTTTTATCTTAAAGG